AAGTTAATGGAATTAAGATATTAACAGAACTGTGATTATACAGATTATGTGTTGTCAATAATGAGACTCTGCATTTCAACAAAGAAAGTACTTACGTGAAATTGCTGCTGACAAAGAAAAAAAGCAAAATTTGCGTTGGAAACACAAAATAACACAATTGAAAATAAAAGTATAGAATTTTGGGGGGTTAATATGATAAAATGACTTTTCCATTTTGCTTTAATCTTTAAAATATAAGGAGTTACTCATATTTTTTTTTTAAAAAAAGGAACATTAACTACCATTATATTTTAAATAAAACCTATCTCTTAAAACAGATGAGTGTGAGGTATAATATACCTTTTAATGTTCTTTTAGGTAAATAGGAACTCATTTCCATAATTGAGAGCAAAGAAGCTTAGCATTTTCAATGTCAGTGTAAGATGGGGTTGCTTAGCAATATTCAAATTAGTTAGAGTTCCTCCATGGGGAAGGAAATGGTTATAAAATAGTCATATATGTGAACATGTATCAGTCAAAAAAGGAAGTGATTTCATTACACCTAAATTTTCACCAAAGAGGATTCCATGTAATGAAATTAAAATAACCCAAACTGTCGGTAACTTTTATGCATATTAATTTAGCCAAATAACACTACATGTATATTGTTAGGTTATAATCATTCCCAGGCTCTCCTCACTAATTGCCTGCTAAGTAAGTTGTGAAATTAGCATGCAAAGACAAGGCCTCAATTCTTGCTGAAATCCTGTTGTTTATTTTTTCCATTCTCTTTGGCCCCCCATGTACATTTCTTAGTTTTTGTGCCATCACCAGTTCCTAAGGTCCTTTTGCAAAGGCTTGATATACTTTAGTATATGGCTTAAACACCTTACCAGAAAAATCTACTACTACTGTATTTCTTTTCATGTAGAATTGCTCATTCTTGGTATCTGCCTGCACATATATGAGTTTTAATATATGCTTATTCTTGATATTCTTTCTGTGTAACCATTTATCTTTTCTCATTAATTCCTTCATTCTAGTTATGGGTGCAGGAGAGTTCGTTGAGGGTCCTTAAACCCACCCAGTATCCCCCAAACCCCACTTTCTTACTTGTAGTTTTCAAGAATAATTACATTGTGTGTTGGGAATGCAATATCCTGAGATAGAGAAGAGCTTCCCATAGCAAGCTGGGCCTTTTCCTGTCCCTCCTAGGTAGGGCCTGTAACATCTTAGTGAGGAACTGCCTAAAAAAGTTGAGCTTTATGCCAGTCTCCCCAGGAAGCAGGATATCCTTCAGACATTTTCCTAGTCAGTTATGTTTCTCTTGAGATATACAACACAGGGCAGGCTGCCTTTCAGAGTCCTTTAGATGTGATGTAACGTAGGGTTTGTGCAGTCAAAACTCCATGTAGCCGGGTGGATGATGCATGCCTGTAATCCCAAAGGCTCAGGAGGCTGAATCAGGAGGATTTTGAGTTCCAAGCCAGACCCAGCAACTTAGTGAGGTCCTAAGCAACTCTTCGAGAGCCTATCTCAAAATAAAAAATTAAAAATGGCTGGGGATGTGGCTCAGTGGTTAAGCACCTCCAGGTTCAGTCTCAAGTACCCAAAACAAAACAACTCCATCTAACCTATATAACTTTCTAGATATTTGGAGTACAGGCACACAATAGATCTTATGCTTCTTTTGTCCCTTGCTGCCTAAATGTAACTACTAAGTCTGCTTCATACAACTTCTGTGTGTGATGTCTTAGCAAACTCAGACAAATAGGTAATTTGTGCATGGTGGGCCTAAAGAGTAGCTCAGTATAAAGTGGGAATACGGAGTTGGACTTAAGGAGTTGGCATAGGTAATATCTTCCCTCTTCTTCATGGAGTGGAGTCCATTTTGGGGGAGTGGTTGTAAGTGAACCCACTTCACAATTGTCACTCTAATAATAGGACCCTAAGTATGGTAGTGACATAATAAACTATGTTGAGTGCACATTAAATAAATAAATCTTAGACCTAAAGCAGGCCATATAAAACATTCAAGTTGTAGGAAGAAATATTATAATTTCTAGTTATATTTACTTTCAAATTTCAACATTTTATCTACTTTAGTAATATTTTAAAATGTAGGGAACACAATAATGTATAATATGACTTTTAATAGAACATTAAAGGACTCACTGATTTTGCCAGGGTAATTTCTCTTCTTAACCTCTTTCTGGTCTGGCCACTCTGGCTCCCACAGCCATTGCTCATCTGTCACTGTGGACCAGTGTAATGTCACGGCCAGCACTGAGTTTAGACTGGCCATCTATCTTTCCAGTATGACTTCTTTAGCCAGTAATAATTACCATTTGTTATGATATGTGGAATTTAAATAGACAAAAAAATTGTAGTGGAAAAGATCTATTTATTCTGCCCCTGTTTGAATAGGAAGGGCTACATCCATGTAGCACATGATTCTAAAGATTAATTTTCTTGAAGATTAAGACAAAAAACAGAATAAAACACAATGTTTATCCATGATAGCTTCCTGTTTTCATATCCTTCACAGTCTTTCTTTCCCCCAAACCCTTCCTGGTGTAGATTGTAAAAACACTTAAAAATAATGAGGAAATAGCAATTATATTTATGCAAGAGAAAAAACAACTCAGAAATATTCATGATGAAAGATAGGCTCTAAAAAAGTTGTATACAGACAGAACTTTAAAAAAACGAATCAAATTTATTTTTTTAAAATATATGAGGGAGCTTGCTCTTTGAAGCTTCTTTCATGTAATTGAGATATAGATTCACTAGGCAGTAAAGAGTTCTAGCTATCTAATTCACTTTAACTGGAAATATACAAAAGTACTGCATGGTGGGGAGCTAAGTACATTTACATAAAACTTTAAACATTTTACATAAAGTTTGGACAGAATGCTAGTGCTTACTGGTATTATCTTGATGACTTTGAACTAGAGTATCTATCTATGATGTCTTGCTCTAAGTTTGCTTATAATCTTTTGCTGTTAGCCAGGCCATCTCTAATAGGGATTCTATGTCTTGATTATTTAACAGAGTCTCTATTCAACTAGTTGTTCAATCTAGAAATATTAGAATATCTTTAAATCCTCCTTCCTCCTTATAAATTATGTTCAATTACTAAATCTTCTAAATTATACTTTCATAAAGATTTTCAATGTTCTGTCCTTCTCTTTATTTCAGTTGCCACTGCCCTAATTAAAATCACATGGCCTTTCTGATCTACAGCAAAAATGCCTAACTGGCTTCTCTGTGAGCACTCCTGTTCTTCAGTGCTTTCTCTACGTTATTGTCAACAGTATTTTCTAGGACACATACCTATGTTTGTTATTCTGCTGCTTGAATTAATCAATTTCGCTTAGTTACTATAGAAAAACCTTCAAATTCCTTGGAGTACTTTTCAAGGACATTCACAATTACTCCCAAGAAACTTGGCCCCTTCACTTCTGGTCTCCATTTCAAACTGTCCATTTTCCTATATATTTGCCCATTCACCACATTTCCATGTCTTTTCTCATCTGGACTGCCTGTCCTCCAACACTCTGTCTCATGAAGGTTTTAAAGATCCAGTCCAAATCTGATCTTTTTGTGACGCCTTCTTTTAAATTCTTCTCTGAAACTTCTGTATTTATTTTTATTGAACTGTAAGGAAGCATGAGTCGGTGAAAGCATAAATTCTTTAAAGGCAACAGCTTTGCTGTTATATATTGAATGTCAATTTTCATTATTAATCAATTAATGATATTTTGCTCTGCAAAATTCTCTGAGCAGGAAGGTATAAACCTGAGACTTAAAAAAAATTGATTACATTATTTTCCATTTAATCAATATCTCTTAAATCAGAGACATTTCATAATTAAGACATAAACTGTGGCTTTTTACAGGCCCCTTTTGTAGTATAAATATTCTATCTACTTAATCTGCTGTTTAATTCTCTGGTCTGATCTAAGTTTAAAATAGTACTCTACCAGATTCATAGCCCCTATAATA